GTAGATTGTAAATCAAGAGCTGGGGTGTTTTAAAAAAAAAAAACGCCCAAAACCTCTTCACGTAATCTTTTTTGAAGCAAGTTTTAATGTTCTAGTTAGGAGGTTGGGGGTTGCCAGTGCTTCGTCTGTTCTAGTCCTTCTGTCACTGTGGTTTCCAGTGGAGCTGGATCTGCGGTAGTAGTGGTGTTTACCAGATTCAATTCTGGTTTTTACTACTCAGCAAAAATAAAATAAATCTATCTTCGCCCAAAACCTCTTCACGTAATCTTTTTTGAAGCAAGTTTTAATGTTCTAGTTAGGAGGTTGGGGGTTGCCAGTGCTTCGTCTGTTCTAGTCCTTCTGTCACTGTGGTTTCCAGTGGAGCTGGATCTGCGGTAGTAGTGGTGTTTACCAGATTCAATTCTGGTTTTTACTACTCAGCAAAAATAAAATAAATCTATCTTTTGTATTTCATAGTATATATCCTAATACACATCACAGTTATGTTTTACTATATTTTGGTAAATAACCGAAACCAATGTTACTTTAAAGAGCTATTATAGAAGACATTCCATTCAGACTGAGATACTGTAAATAAAATGTAAAACCTAGTGAGCATAGTATGTAATTCCAGACACCTGAATGTCTGCATACAATTTTGTTTTGGTATGTTCCCATATTTAAATATTCTGTAAAAAAGTCAAAATTACTTACATGTACAAAAGTAACAGTAATTCAGAGGCATGAGTAGTCAGAAGCTTGAAGAGTTGTGGGTTAACACCACAGGTTCAACTGTAGACAGAGCATTCCAAGGAAGAAGATAAGGCTTGATCCTGTGTCTGTGTCATGCCTGTTTGTCCGTGTTGAATGCACATACTCAAAGCTTGAAAAAAACCCATTATATGTTCAGTGAAACATTACTGAGCTCACTGGATCAGCTAACAGCGAAACAGTTAGTGTTTTAGCTTTTCCTTAATAGCAGATGAAAATAGTATTTTCTGAGTATGGAGGTTCTTGTACTTTACATGTAGATAAATATTGTGGAAAGTCAGCATTCTAAAAAAGTAGCCCCATCTTTCCTTGTTTATCCTTTTTCAGCTGACAGTTTCTTTCCTGCATATTTTGGATGAAGGAGACTGACCAATGTGCACTAGAGTGATTGCCATATGAAATCATTTTTGTACTTGGACTTTGTAAGGTTCTAGACCTTCACCTACCAGTAGCTCCTACCATTCTCTGCATGAAGCAGCTCCAGTGGACATACCCCTTTGGAGAGTGTCAGGTGTCACAGTAGCTGATTTCAATTGACTAAACATATTCTTTTCTTCTTGATAAATTTGCTGGTTATTATGATGATCACTCCGTTGTTCTGCCTCATAGTCACTGGCAAGCCTGAGATAACGTGATGGATTTTAAGTGTGTGTT